AAGATGTAGATAAAATGGTCAGCTCCCTGTACAGCTCCAGTAAGTACCTGACTCGTCATGTTATCCTCTATCTTTATAAGATCAACATCAGACCAAAAATGGTCTATTGTTGCCGCACAGGCCCTAATTTCCAGTCTTGAAGGAGTTCAAAAGCATCTCCGAGTCCTTGCTGGAGAAGAATTATTTTCCAGACTCCAAACTTTCTCTCACACAGGCAGGATATGGCGAGTCTCTCACTACTCTATCGCTACTAACATGGAAAGTGCTCGGACGAACTGCATCTCCTGGTTCCGTCTGGTCTGAGCGTCATAGCTAGGACCCTCCATGCCACTTACATAATACTTTTTTAATAGCGAAAAAAAAAACTACAATAAACTTCTAAGAATAGAATCCCTCCGCATTTTGCTGTCAGCCTCCTATTTTACAGGTGAGAAAACTGAGACAGGGCGAAATTGCAATACCTTTGAATGATAACCTCTGTATTCTATCGGCGAGCAGTTCCACTCACACAGCTTCTTCCCAAGAACCAGTGCCCTATGGAACAGGTTCATTAGAGGATGTTTCCCTGATCACTATAATGTTAACCTGTTCAAGTCTAGAGTCATCTTACCCTTCTATCCATATAAACTATCCCTTAACTTAAGCCTCTAGCTTGAGTGTCCCTCGAGCCTTATACCGATAAAATTACAGATGTATAGACTTGATTTTCATTTTGAATGCACCTTACGGCATCTTTCCAACAAGCTAGTAATGTTTCAGAAGAAAAATATAACTCATTAACAATTTTCAAATAAAACTTTCATGATTGCCTGATCTTCAATTCTCGGATGAATAACGCGAAAAGCTATCGTCGATATATCGCCTTTACGTTAACTTTTTTAATAGAGAAAAAAAAACCTGCAATAAACTTCTAAGAATAGAATTCCTCCGCATTATGTCGTCAGTCTCCTATTATACAGGTAAGAAAACTGAGACCGGTGAAATTGCAATACGTTTGAATGATAGCCGTTCTTCCTCTCTGTCATGAAAAGAAGAAAAAAAACTCGCAGATTTTCGTTTTGCCCAGTGACAGAACAGAAAAATGAAGTCCAGGGTATTTCAGATTCCATCCAGAATAAGAGTTATGCAAAACGAAACAATCTACCAAAAATATATTTAAACACAAATAGAAAAACACGTTAAAGTATAATCTCTTCACTTTTTCCTCTTTTTCTATTAACTTGTGATAAGGTCTTATATAGCAGGTTGCAGTACCATGTTCAACTCCCCTCCTCCTATGCCTCCTACTCATCCTCCATCTTCCATCCAGTCACCCCCCATCCTCCGTCCTATCCGATACGTATCCATCCTCATACTTATCCACCTTCTACTTCTACTCCTCCTCCTACTCATTCTCCTACTCATCCTCCTACTCATCATCCTCCTAATCTTCCTATTCATTCACCTCTTACTCCTACTCATCCTCAGACTCTGTTGTAAAATATCGAGCAACAGCATCACCACCCTTGGGTAGTTTTTGCAAGATGGGACCAGTTTTAAATTCAATTTTTCCTTTTCCTAGACTGGTTACCAACCACGGTTAGAGAGTCTAATCTAGCCTACAGCTTAAGTGGTGGGGGTTGGCAGAGATTAATTAATGCATTTTCCGAGATAATTTTTAAGAAAATGAACGCAATTAACTCGGCTGGAATTTGAACTTGGCATGATGATTTTATTTCCGCGCCCGTAACCGCTACGCTACCATGTAAAACTCTCAATCGGGAAAAAGAAAATACCAAAATTCTTTTGATGAGTTGTTTTTCCTTCGTTTCTATTGTTGCATATTTTTTTTTTTTTTTGCACTTGTCAGGTCTTCCATTCTACAATCGGTAAAATAAGCAAAGTGAATGATAAATAAAGAAACACATGACTTGTCAACATGTTTGTCATCGTTGACATCTTTAATCATTTAACTAGCGAAGCTTAAGTGCTACTCGATGCTAAATCTATAATTATCTAATTTCATCTTCCTCATTCGATTATTCATGCTATATTGTTTGTTTACGCTTTGGTAAAACTACTGCTAATACTACTAAATAGTTTTTACTTTAATCTACTAGAGTTGTCAGATTGGCTAATACGGCTGCATTTGAAAAACATTAAACACTAAATTTTGAATTCACTTTCTTCCCATTAGTAGCCCAATTTAGCCAAAATTATTTTTAAAATCGACCAACATTTCACAAGAAGCCAAATTCAAAAATTAGCAGCGCGAGATTTTAAAAGAACTCCTTTTTTTCAAAGATAGTTTGATGCATATTATCCCATCTCCATTTTAGTTTTTGTTATATAGATTCTTCTTATTTTATGTGCCGTGTCTCTTCAGGGCGTAGGTGATCATGGCCCTCCACATCCTCCTGTCCTAGCTTTTAATAAGTTTTGTCTGTTTTTTATTTCTCCCAGGTCTTGTTCTGACATCCACTTGCTCAAGACCATTAAATATATCACGCTTTACCCTTTTTTCCTTTAGCCGTCCTGTGAGTATCAGATTTTCTAAGCCCTCTTTTCTCTTTTAGATGTCCTAGAAATTTCATCCTTCCTGATCTTAAGTAAAAGTTTCCATTCTCCCCAAAACCTCGTCTCTGCTCACATGTCCGGCCCATGTTATACTTAGCATCCTTCTGTAGAGCCACAAGTCGCTCATTTCTATCTTCTTTAACCACGAGAAACGCCAGCTTAGGGAAAATGTACTGTGGTTCATTATTTACGCATACACACAAGTACACACATTTCTTTATTCTGATGAAGCCTAGAAAGGCGAAACGCGTAATCAAATTTCATTTCAATGAAACGTTTTCCACTTTTCAAATATTTTAAAAACTTTGTCGAGATTCTAAATCCTATTATATATGTGTGTGTGTGTGTGTGTGTGTGTGTGTGTGTGTGTGTGTGTGTGTGTGTGTGTGTATTTTGGCAGCAAATATTCTTTAAGGCAAATACAACTAAAAACGACAGACATGTTGTTTTGATTAATTTTAATGACAGACTTTTATAAATTATGATTTATTCTTCTATATGTATGTATGTATGTATGTACGTTGTTTTTATATTTACATACACTCCATCTCTGGCACTGAGCAATTTTACCCATGAATATAGCATACCTTAAAACTATATATTTTATTCTCTATCTATAAAAGGCAGGATGTGTGTGTGTGTGTGTGTGTGTGTGTGTGTGTGTGTGTGTGTGTGTGTGTGTGTAACGAATGCAATTTTTGACGAATTTGCACCAAAATGTATATGCACATGCTCCAAGTTAGCGGGAAGGCCAAGACGACTTTGCATTTCCCAACTCCCATCGATAGTGGAAATAATCGATTTTTTCATGCTTCTACGGCAGTTTTCATGTAGTTTACGACCATTTTCTACTGGCCAGAGTGAGAGCCTATAGCTGGCTGCCACGAATAGGCAGGAAGATTCTATCGGCCAGCGTGAGAGTCAACAGCTGACTGACACGAATGTTAACTAGCATGCAAAAAAAATCGATAGCTGTATTCATCACAAGTGGGAAAAATTTAAATCTGCATGGCACTTTACTCCAATTGGCTCATTCCATTGCTTAAACTTAACGTTGATTCTGATTCCGCAGAACTGAGTTGGGTGTGAAAAAGTATTTGTTGTTAACATTCTTTTTTCATTCGGTTTTTCCAGTTATGTGTCCTTTTTTTAAAGCTGATCGTTTTGTGTTCATTTTGTTTAGTTCTTTTTTCGTAACAGATTTAATGTTTAGTATAGAGCTTAGAAAAACTTCGCAGTGTGAGATAGGCAAGAAGTAAGGCATGTAGCAACATCAGCACAGCAAAGGGCACTCCTTTAAAGGCAAGGAAGGGCAAAAATATTTTAAGTCAAGTGATAGCGATTGCTGTATGAGACGTACGATTTTTTAATCAAGCACAGGCAACGCCGGGCCATGCTGCTAGTCATATTATATAGAGTATTAACAAAAATACAGTGACTTGTTTTCTGGGCCTCAAAGATCATAAAATGTACCAATAAAATGATTCCTGTTTTGGGAGTAAAATTAACAAAAGTATTTTTTTTTTAAATCGTGTTCACCCCAAGCAAGGCAGTAAAGCCACTAAGACACGATGGGTCACTGTTTCTGGAACAATTATAAGACAGAAACTTTACTAAGGAGAGAGAACAAAAAAAAGAGTAATCAGGAAGACAGTAGATAGTGATTGGCATTTCATTTAATTTTTTGCAGATTAAAGTTGGCTGAAAAACATGGAACCGGAATAAAGTTCCACAAGCAATAAGTGAGAGAAAAGAAACTGTTAGCATAGAACTTGTGATTAAATCTAGCCAATTCAACTTTAAATGGTGAAAATTCGTTGCCAGTCTAGTGCTGCGCTAAAATTTAAAATAAAATCGAGTTACCAAAATGAAGAGCTCATCGAAACAATTACCATGAAAGTATTTATAGAAAATGGCACAGAAAGTCAACTCTACGATGGTGAGAAAGTGACTGAAGCCAAGCCCCCAGATCAGGACCAATAATATTGCTGATTCTTCTTTGGATTTTATCAAGGAACTCTAGATATACAGCCGGAGCACCGGACCATAAGTGGCAGTAATATTCTAAGCATGGACGGATGGTAGACTTATAGATATGTAAGATAGATTCTAGAGAGAAAAATTGTCTCGCCCGACACAGTGAACCAAGTTTCTTAGCAGCTGACCTAGCAATGGATTCAATGTAGTCTTTACACCTCATGTCAGCTGGGCACGTGAGCCCGAGAAGACGCAACGACTCACTCTCTTGGATGTTAGCATTAGCCATGCTGATGGAAAGCAGAAAGTGATAACTCAAATTAATTAACAGAGAGCAGTTTAGTTTTGGGGGCGTTAAAATTAACAACAGACTGAAGGTCGTTTTTAATATTATTAACAAGGTTTCCCAAAGTTTTTGCACGCCATTGTATATACTCAATCTGTTCTTCTTTATCTATCTATATCAGTTTTGTCATATCTATGTACGTACTCTATCTATCTATCTATCTATCTATCTATCTATCTCAGTCTTGTCATATCTATGTATGTACTCTATCTCAGTCTTGTCATATCTATGTATGAAATCTGTCTATCTATCTATCTATCTATCTCAGTCTTGTCATATCTATGTATGTAATCTATCTATCTATCTATCTCAGTCTTGTCATATCTATGTATGAAATCTGTCTATCTATCTATCTATCTCAGTCTTGTCATATCTATGTATGAACTCTATCTATCTATCTATTTATCGCAGTCTTGTCATATTTATGTATGAAATCTATCTATCTCAGTCTTGTCATATCTATGTATGTAATCTATCTATCTATCTCAGTCTTGTCATATCTATGTATGAAATCTGTCTATCTATCTATCTGTCTATCTATCTATCTCAGTCTTGTCATATCTATGTATGAAATCTATCTATCTGTCTATCTCAGTCTTGTCATATCTATGTATGAAATCTATCTATCTATCTATCTATCTCAGTCTTGTCATATCTATGTATGAAATCTATCTATCTGTCTATCTGTCTTGTCTATCTATCTGAAATCTTGTATCTATCTATCTATCTAAATCTATCTATCTGTCTGTCTATCTCAGTCTTGTCATATCTATGTATGAAACTATCTATCTATCTATTTATCTCAGTCTTGTCATATCTATGTATGAACTCTATCTATCTATTTATCTCAGTCTTGTCATATCTATATGTACTGTATCAATCTATCTATCTGTCTATCTCAGTCTTGTCATATCTATGTATGAACTCTATCTATCTATCTATCTATCTATCTGTCTGTCTATCTATCTATCCCAGTCTTGTCATATCTATGTATGAACGCTATCTATCTATTTATCGCCGTCTTGTCATATCTATGTATGAACTCTATCTATCTATTTATCTCAGTCTTGTCATATCTATCTATGTACTGTATCTATCTATCTATCTGTCTATCTATCTATCGCAGTCTTGTCATATCTATGTATGAACTCTATCTATCTATCTATCTATCTATCTATCTATCTATCTATCCCAGTCTTGTCATATCTATGTATGAACTCTATCTATCTATTTATCTCAGTCTTGTCATATCTATCTATGTACTCAATCTTTCTCCTTCTGTTTGTGTCTTTGTGTTCAGTCTACTTCAATCTCCATCTTTCTATTTCTCTATTTCTGTCGCTCTATATCTCTATCTTTCTCTCTCTCTCTCTCTCTCTCTCTCTTTCTCTATCTATCTATCTCTATCGATTTATCTGTTAGTCTTTTCATATCTGTTTAAGTCTTTTCATATTTATCTATGTACTCAATCTATTCTTATCTATCTTCGTGTGTCTATATATTCTGCCTACATCTCTGTCTACCGCTGTCTCTTTCTTCTTCTCCCCCCCCTCTATCTTTCTATCTATCTTTCTGTCTATTTATCTAGTAATAGATTGACTAACAGGTAAACAGTAAACAAATCGCCCTTTACTCGAAATGATTCGGGCTTTTGTTTGACAGAAATAGCTTACGCATGATTAGATTTTCAAAATTACTTACTGAGAAATTTTTCGATTTTCTTCTAAATTCTCAAGACACTTCAATACGTTTGTTCAATGATTGTCTTCCCTGCAATTTTTCCCGCGTTTCCGAGACGAGGATTAGTCGGGCTCAATAGAACATCAAACCTTGGCGTAGACAAAATGTCTTCTCGGCTCACATTTAAAGGCGAACGAGAAAAGAAAAGAAAGTAATAAATAGATATGTTTAGGTTGCCCGGAGTGAACAGTAAATGGCGGTAAAGGAAGGCGGACAATAGCAATTAAGGGACGAATAACTGGGAGGTGTTGATTCGATTTGATTTCTGGTTTTAATTTTATTTCATTTTAAACTTGCCAAAGACGTAATTGGCGATAAGAATTAAATTTCGCTTTACGCTTAATTTTACTGCGTCCGAGTAATTTGTGCGACTGCACATGTTAACATATATGTATATTTCGTATATATACATATATATATGTGTGTGTGTGTGTGTGTGTGTGAAAGAGAGAGAGAGAGAGAAATGGGAAGAGAAAGGACATAAAAAGACTGTCATGCAAAAACAGAATTGATTACAATTTTAAAATTGATTTAAAAATAAAACAAAGAATTCAAAAAGTAAGTTACATGAGAATAGATCAATAGATAGTGCAGAACGAGATAGATAGATAGATAGATAGATAGATAGTGCACAGAACGAAATAGTTTAGAGAATGAAATAGATAGATTGTGTAGAAAACGTTAACAGTATACAGAACAAGATAGATAGAGAGAGAAATAGAGAGAGAGAGATTGTAGAAAATGAAATAGTGCAGAGATAGACAGATATATAGTGTAGAGAATGAAATGCTTAGATAGTGTAGAGAACGAAACAGATAGTGTACAGAAAATAAGATAGATAGATAGATAGATAGTGTAGAAAACAAATAGATAGTATAGAGAACGTGTTAGATAATGTAGAGAACGAAATAGATAGTGTAGAAAACGATAGATAGATAGATAGATAGATAGATAGATAGATAGATAAGATAATGTACTGAACGATTTTTTCAAATCATATATTTTGCAGTCATATGAATGTAAAACGGAAAGCATATGACAGATGGAAAATCATAAAGCAAAATAAAATTTCAGCCGTCTTCAAAATTAAAAATATGTTATTATTTTTTAGAAATGATCTCGATCCCTTTATAACCACCGTATATTTTTTTATTTTCATTTTTATTTTTTGTTTTTGTAAAGAATAAGAAAAATTGTATTATATAGACGGTTTTCTTTCATCGTTCCATCTCAAATAAGGCGATAATACCACTAGAATGCATTGGCTTAGAAAGAACAATAAATGAACATGATTCAGGATGACAGAAGCTGGTGATTGACACTGCATTTTTATTTTCGAAGATTGTAGGTGGCATGGAGTTCCACAGGCAAGAAGTGTGGAAAAAGAAACTACTAGAATAGAACTTGTGAGTGCATCTAGCGAGTTCAGTAGTAAAAAGGCGAAACCTTGTTACCAATGTAGCAACACGCTTAAATTAATGTAGTCAAGTCATTAAGGAGAATAGTTTATCAGAATAATTGGCATGAGAATATTTATAGAAAAGACAGGGAGAAGCCATGTCACGCCGATGAGAAAAATGCCAGGTCAATATCGATTATATTGCAAACCTTTCTTTGGATTTTTTCAAGAATCCTGAGATATATAGTATGAACCCCAGACCAGATATGGCAGCACTATTCAATGCCCAGACGAATGGTAAATTTATAAATATGCAAGAAGGATTGTAACGAGAAGTGTCTGACACGACACAGTGAACCAAACTTCCTAACAATAGATGTAGCGATTGATAAAAGAGAGAGAAATAGAGAGAGAGATTGTAGAAAATGAGATAGATAGATAGATAGATAGATAGATAGATAGATAGATGTAGAGAACGAAATAGTGTAGAAAAAATATAGATAAATAGTGTAGAGAACAAATAGATAGTATAAAGAACGTGATAGATAGGTAATGTAGAGAACAAAATAGATAGTGTAGAAAACGATAGATAGATAGATAGATAGATAGATAGATAGATAGATAGATAGATAGATAGATAGATCTCAGTGGGAAACGTGAGTCTAAGAAGGCGCAGTGTCATTCTCGCGGAGACTAACATCAACCATACTCTTTTTTTAAGCGTTTCACCTCAAGCAAGGCGGGAATCCACTAACACGCAAGGGTTTAGAGATTTGAAGCGAGAGCAAATAGGAGTGATAGAGGAAAGGATGAGGAGAAGGATAGGGGATAGATCAAGGCATCTGGAGATGTCGATTGACCTTACATTTGAATAGTTGGAGATTATAGCTATCAGGGAAACAGGAAAAGGGGAGGGAGTTCCACACGCGAGAAGTGCGAGACATGAAGCTATTGGAGTAGAAGAGACGGCTACATTTAACAGTTTCGACAGTGAAAGGGTGAGAGCGAGATGCCAGTGTACTAGAACGCTTAAATTCATGGAGTCTGGCAACCAGCGATAGCAGTTCATCGGAGCAGTTACCTTGAAATTATATGTAAAAAAAAGGAGGGAGGCGACGGCACGTCTGTGAGAGAGCGGCTGCAGACGAGATGCCAGATCAGGACCAATTACATTGCATATCCGTCTTTGGATCTTATCAAGGACCTTGAGACAAACAGAAGGGGTTCCAGCAATACTCCATGGCAGCAATACTCCATGGAAGGGCGAATGGTTGATTTGTAGATTTGAAGGATCGATTCCGGCGAGAAAAAATTCCTGGCGCGGCACAGGGAGCCAACTTTCCTTGCGGTGGACGAAGCTATTGACTCAATGTATTTGTTCCATTTCAGGTCAGTAGTCAATGTGAGACAGAGTAGTCGCAAAGAGGTGCTCTCGTGGAGTTGAGCGTCAGAAATTCTAATGGAGGGCAGGGAAGGATCTCTGAGGGTGAGTAATATAGCAGGCAGAAAAGGTTTAGCAGCTATCTGCGAACACATCTTGAGCCAGTCAAGGTAGAAGGTTATTGATTGAGGTCGTTATGTGAGCGTAAGAAAAGGAGGTATGATTAAGCCTAAACTAGAAAATAATAAGTTATCAAGAAAGCATTCTCTCGGGGGTCTATTACACAAAATAGCAGTTCTTCATCTACAGAGACAGCTTTTTATCATGAACCGCTATTTTGTGTAATAGTTTCCCGAGAGAATGCTGTCTCAGTGGAACTTCTTCCCCACTAATGGAATACGATGGGAATTACGTTGCGTGACCTGGTAGATGTTAGCTGCGGGGGTCAGAACTGGTAGAACTAAAGAATGTAGTTTGTCAGAACATTTGCCATGGAAATAGCGTTAGAGTAGCGAGGGGCTTGCAACTGTGAAAAAGATTGTAGGATGGAAAAAGAATTCAGGCCGTAAAATCATGGATCGTATTCCATTTGACGTTTAGGGTGATCTGATATGGTTCAAATTTTAGCATACTCCCTACTTCGTAAAATACATCTAATGATGTTTCTAGCCGAGGTTCATTAGGAGTTTCGGGTCTTTGAACTACGTGCGCCCTTTCCACGGTAGCACCATGCAACTCTTCTTGGTAATTTATTGCCCAGTTCCTAATGACTTCCGGTTCGCCAGCAATGTGCGCTCTTCCATAAAAAAAGGAAGCAAAAGCAGCCACAATTTCTAACTCATCAGGAAGATGGCGTCGTGCTTGAAGTGGTAAGTACCAATTTGATTCCCCTTACTGAGACATACACACAAGCACACACAGAGAAACGGGTTCAAGCCTCACATTCTGCTTAGACTTTTCCCTATTTATATTCATGTTAATAATCCGCCGAAGAAAAAGAAAATTATTTCCTTTTCCTCCTTCCAATTTTTTTTCTTTTTTCATCTCTGACACTCCACCTATGTGAGTTACACACATGCACACATATCAATGCCGCCACACACACAGACGCCAAGACATATCTAAAAAAAAAAACTTTACAATAAACAAACAAATACCGTGGTTGTGGGGGGGGGGGGCTACAAGTACTAGATCTTAGCCCGTAGGTAACAATGGTTCGGGGTTCCCTAATTATGTCCCCTAATCTAGATTCCATTTTTGGTTGTAGTTTCGGACACAAGAAAAATTAAATAAAAAGCCTAATCGCAGTACCTTGTCTGTCGTCTTTAATAAAACATATATGTATACATAGATATATCATACCCAAGACCTCCCCCCGCATATATATATATATATATATATATATATATATCAACCGAAACTTCTTTTCATTTATTTAGCGACTGTCAACCACTTGATCTTTTCAACCAAAACCATCTAGAAGACTCTTCTGCTGCCAATGTTACTAAGCGAATAGCCTTGTTTTTTACACTTTTACATGTATCTAAATAATTGGGTTTTTTGGGGGGGTTTTTTGTTTTGTTTTTTTGTTTTTTTTGCATTCCTAGTCAGGAGGGGAGAGAGGAGGAGTAAAGAAAGAATAGAAAGAAGAAATGGTGTTGGTGTTGGTCGTGGGAAAAGAAATCAAGAAATGTTTCTGATCATAATTCCTAAGACCAACAGATGTGTTCGATATTGTGTTTTCTTATTTTTTCTTTCCTTTTTTTTTTTTTTTTTTTTGATTAAAAGTAACACTTTATATGAAAGGAAACTTTTCTTGCCATTACTTACCTGGTATGTCAAACTTTAGTTGAGGATGTGGATCTTTACGCGTGGTCAACCTAAGATAGAAAAAAGACGAGCATGCTGTCTATTCTTTTTTTTGTATCGTCTTGGCTGAGGAGGAAATGACGTAAGTCGTTAACGATTTAACGAATCCATTTGTTGTGTGCTTATCGTTTTTTTTTTTTTTGTTTTTTTTTTTTTTTTTTTGCTTCAGGATCGCCTGCCGGAATAGTACTATTTCGGTAAGGGTCTCTTGGGCGAACAAGTATAATGTTGGAAGACCCGAAACTTGTCATGACCCCAAGTCATAGCATCACTGACTAGGCGATCCTGAGCACTCGTTGGAGTGTTTTCATGACAAATATGGCGGCTTCCAATCTAATACAAGAAATAATAAGGCACGATATTCTTGTGTTTCTAACCAGTATTTATTGTGTCTAGCAGATAGCCAAATTTAGCAAAATGACCAGTGATGGCAAACCGGAACGAGAAGGCATGCAGTTGTTTCCATCTGAGGTTAAACGCGGTTTTATGTAATAACCGTTTTCTGTTTTATCCTAGTCGAACATATGTACAAATGTTTTTGAAAATATACTGATTTTTTTTCTATTCAATAACATTATTTTTATATCTTTGTATCATAAGATGTTCTCAATTATCTGCCGCATTTTTTGAATATGGTAGAGAAGTGACGAATCCGATTATGAAACCGAGCGTTTTTTATTCAGGGACAAGAGAAAGTCAGAGCTCACAAAATAATTAAGTGGAAGAGGATTTTCATGCTTTATTTATCGCCTTGAAATAATATAAGTACCTTGTCTGTCGTCTTTAATGAAACATATATGTACACATACATACCTATATATCTATATATATATATATTATATATATATATATATATATATATATATAGTTACTTCGTGGAAACTTAGATCAATATATCTCTCAAAGAAGCTTAAAAGTAATTATAATTAAAATCAGAAAATGAGAGTTGAAATTTCTAGAATAAATAATGCGAAAAGAAGGCTTGGAAAAATGATACTCACAGGACATATTGAAAGCGATAGAGACTAAGGAAACTAGCAATTAATCTACTTTTGGAGGGTTTGTGAATGGATGACAGAAGAAATCTTGAGTCTAAAAGCTAAAATGAATAAAATCTCGCGGAAAGTTATGATCATCCAAATCCTGAATGGACATGGCGCATAGTAGAAAAAAAGTTGATTTTCCAGCCCAAATAAAAATTAAAAATGCTTAATTTCAATGCAGTTAGACAAACTCAGAGAATATGAAATGCACAGTATTCGTAAGCCGATTTCCAATTAACCTTGTGTTACACTCAATACTGATGATGGTTGAAATGGAAATTCTCTTAAAAGCAAGAAAAAATTATAGAATATTAACTAGCAAAGATAGACATGAGAGTGTACGACTTAATTTGATAATTTCTCTTCTGGCAGATTCTTATGGTCATTCAAAAAGGTTTTCTTCCTATTAACTATTTTGATATCAAGGATTTCTATTCTAAAGACACGATTTTCGACCACATTAAATTACTGTAATAAAAAAAATATATAAAAGAGAGTAAAAAAAAGAAATTATAAAACAATACTTTACTTGTTTGTCTGACTACAATTCTCATCACGTTTAAATCAAAAAACAAAACCTACATGGCTTCGATTGAAAGTCAGTGAATGAGTCATGTCTCTGCTGGTTGGTTTGTTTTTTAAGACGAGAGCTAGACTTGTTTTTTTATCTGTCTAGATTTGGGTTTTATATTTGTAATATTTTATTTTACATTCTTTTTTTTTTTTAAATTATGTTTAAATCTAATATTTCTCTTCAGCCTAAAATAAAATATAATATAAAATAATATAAAGTTTCTATTTACGATTTTAAAAAATTCTATTGACCATCCGTTTCCCTCTTATTTCTCATATATTTTCTCCCTTTTACTCTCATATATTTCTCCGTTTTACTATCATATATATTTCTCTCTTACTCTAATATATTTTCTCCCTTTTACTCTCATATATATTTCTCTCTTACTCTCATATATTTCTCCTTCTTACTCTCATATATATTTCTATCTTACTCTCGTATATTTACTCTCTTTTACTCTCATATATTTACTCTTTTACTCTCATATATTTACTCTTTTACTCTCGTATATTTTCTCCCTTTTACTCTCATATATTTACTCTCTTTTACTCTCATATATTTACTCTCTTTTACTCTCATTTATTTACTCTCTTTTACTCTCATATATTTTTCCCTTATACTCTCGTATATTTTCTCCCTTTTACTCTCATATATTTTTCTCCCTTTTACTCTCATATATATTTCTCCCTTTTACTCTCATATATATTTCTCCCTTTTACTCTCATATATATTTCTCTCTTACTCTCATATATATTCCCTCCCTTTTACTTTCATATATATTTCTTACTCTTATATATTTCTCTCTCATATATCCTTTTTCTCTCTTACTCTCTTTCATATATATTTTCTCCTTTTACTCTCGTATATTTTCCCTCCCTTTTCCTTTTCATATATATTTCTCCTTCTTACTCTCATATATATTTCTCTTATATATTTTCTCCTTTTCTCTCTTATTCCCTCCCTTTTCTTTCATATATATTTTTCTTCCTTTTATTTCTCTCTTACTCTCGTATATTTTCTCCCTTTTACTCTCATATATTTCTCTCTTTTAATCTCATGTATCTTTCTCTTCCACTTTGTCCTTCATTAATTTATTGACATCAATCGAATCTAGTCGTCGATGATAATTTCAACTGTAACCAGAGAAATATACATTTTTTATAAGCGTAATATATTTCTGAGACTCTCTCCTCACAACGTTGTAATTCCTGAACTGTTGGATCAACTAATTCCCTTCGATACTCTCTAATTCTTCACCTCTGTAAAAAATAAGACAAAAATGAGTTGAGTGATATATGCTTCTATCGACAAGGAAATGACCAAAGACAAAATTCAGAAAGACAGTCTATAAAGACACAACTAATTTTCGCACCACGATCCTGCAATACTAAAATTAGATACCTAAAAAATGTCATAACTAAGTTTAAAATACATTTTAAAAAATAAAAAACGTCTTTCTTAAAGCTTTTAGTTTTAGCTGCAAATATCCAATTTAATATTTCCAATACGTAAAATACTTTAGAGTATTACAAATTGACTTTAAATTGATTGGAATCTTTTACTCCTTGTCAGTAAAACCTATAAATTTGACAGACTTATCAGCAGAAAATAATTCCCCCTTTTAAAAAAAATCTTTTAAAAATAAAATATTCTTTTATGAAGTATTATATGAGGAAAATTAGTTGATTTAAATTTTAATTAATCTAAATTGAAAAGAAATTACTTAATTTTAGTTTAAAATATAGCAGAACAGCATTCTTTAATTACGGATGGGTTGTTTTCTGACGTATTGAGTTATTTACAAAAACAGTCTAATGTTTGAGAAATTTAAGCAAGAAAGAGAGCGAGAACCGAAAGAAATTATTTGATGAATACAACGTGAAGGCATTTTTCATGATTTTTTTTAATAATGTCACGCCAAGCCACTGGGATGCAAGGAGTTGCAGAGAATGGAAGAAACAGGGTGGGAAATAAAAGAACAGGATCCAAGAAGACAGAAGATAATGATTGACACTGCATTTAATTTTTCGAAGGTTGTAGTTGAGAGGAAAGCATGAAGACGGAAGGGAATTCCACAAGCGAGAAGTGCGAAAGAAGAAACAATTAACATAAAATTTATGGTTGCAACTAGCAATTCCATCGATTAAATTATGAGACCTATCGGCCAATCCAGTACGGAGATTTAATTCGTGAAGTCGCGGGAAGCACATAAGAACAATGACTATGAACATATTTATAGAAGAGGCGAAATGAATCTACGTTACAGCAGTAGATAAGTTACTGAAGCCGAGATGCCAATTCAGGACCCATAACATTGCAGATTCTTCATTGAATTTTGTCAGGAATCTCTATAGCGCCAAACCGGATGCGGCAGAAATATTCGGTGTATGAACAAAGGGTAGACAGATAAATATGCAAGATTCAGGAGAGAGATATTGTCTAGCTCGACACACTGAACCGAATTTGCCAGCACCAGTTATGGCAATTGATTTAATATGAAACGTGAGAAGAAAAAGGCTCAATCAGTTGCTCTGCTGGGGGTTAACGACTGCTATGCTGATGGAAGGTAAAAATGATTATTATTAATTCTTTGCGATTATTAATAGGTAACTGTTTCATTTTAGATGTGTTATAATTAACGTCCACTTCTTGCCCCAGTTAACAACAGATTGTAAGACATTTTCGCGATCAGTCGCCAATTTGATTTTACTATAAAGACTGAAGTAATCATAGCGAAGGTGTTTGACTATTTGCAGCAGCCGGGGTTTCGCCGTTTTTATCTACTAAAATTAACAAATAAGTAAAAGCCCCCCCCCCCGTGCTTAGTTTGAATAGTTTTCCGCAAGTACCCGAGATTCGATCCCAGGTAAAATTCATGGTTTTGAATTCAGATTTCTAAAAGCTCATTTCGCTTTCTCATTCGGAAGACGAGCGAAACATTATCTCTTCTGGCATAGATTTGTTTTTGTCAATTTAATAACCTTCCCCCAATATAAGGCCAAGAACCACTCATGGTAGAGGTTTACCGAATTAGGTTGTCGTATGTGCGTTAGAGCAATAGGTAAAAATTACAGTTTATGAAGATATATATATATATATATATACACACACACACACACACACACACACATATATATATATATATATATATATATATATATATATATATATATATATATATATATATATATATATATATATATTGGAAAGATAGCGATTAACTTGTTGGGTTTAATGCCTTTAGTATTTCAAGATATTTTTGTGTAAATTTGGTAAATCTATATGTTATAATGAGATATTTTCGCCTTTGCGTAATTTAGACAACAATTTATCTATCGCACCCTATATATATATATATATATATATATATATATATTGCAAAATTCCTCAAAAAATAGTCCCCTATGAAATGCGCAGGAGCTATGAAAATAACATAAACTAATGATATTAATTGTTAGTTGTTATTTAAAACAATTGAAATTCATTGTATTGCTGTAACCTAGAAAAGGTTACTGAGTGAGGAATAACCAAAACGGGGGTTGGAAATGAAATGGTAAACTTTATATCATCAACAAAATACAATACTCGCCAGCGGCGCGAAGTAGGTAAACCCCTGCTAGTAGTGCACCACTTAGCATATTATCCCCACTTACAATTAGTGCCCAAGGTATTTATGAATATTGGAGCATACTCATTAGTGTTCATAGGTACGATATGTAACACGTATATAAATAAGATCTTATAAAATATTTAAATAGATATTCTGTTATTACTACAATCATTATTACCCTGACGATTGAGACACCAGTAAACATCGTTAACCTCCGATAAGTATTGTGAATTTTATTTCTGTTTAAATAATTATTGATCTAGACAACTATAGATTTCACTATTGACATAAATTATGTTCGTGTTCATATTCATTGAATTACGTATTTTTTCGCAACTTAACATTAGCCTTTGTTTTGGTACCGATTTCTGTCTTGTTCGAGATTCAAAGCTTGTATTGTTCAGTTGCGAGTCAGACTTTGTTGAATTATAAATGAACGCCTTAAAGATGGAGAATGAAAGTAGCATTTTCACCATATGAAAGCGTGGGGACTGCGACAAAAAAAAAACATTCAGGTTTATTTGGATATTCATCAAACTTTTCGGACAATCAAAAAGTGGTTTGGCAGATTTCGTTAAGGTGAATTTCGATGTGAAAGAGTTCAACAGAAGAGAAGGCTAAAAGTTTGAAAATCGTTATCTCAACTAACTCTCGCTATTTGACGAGACTTGGGCGCAAGAAGAACGGCTGATATTGGCAAATAGAAAAAAAACGCCATTTGCCACCACGTCAACATAAAACGGCATGTTGCAAAATAGACCTTGCAGATACTTAAGTTGAAATGTGACCCTAACCCTCAGCATCCACCGTAGTTTATTGATTTGACTCCTTTGGATTTTTATTTTGTTCTTCCGACAAAAGCATACGAAGTTTCTACGAAAATGCCATCAACAAGCTTTGTAGAAAGATGGGAGACATTTGTTAAAAACAATGGAGGCGATGTAATTGACGGATAAAGGTTTTTTTTTGTTGTTGTTGTTTTTTTGTTTTTGTGAGTATGTAACA